ATGGATCACTATTGGAGTCTGGACTTTGTAGGAGAGACACAGAGGAGACGAATTGTTGAATAAAGTCGTTATTTTTGTTTTCTTCGCGTACAAAAAGTATTCTGGTCGCTTCATAACGTTACGGTTGAACCACTGTTGGCAGATGGATTATTCTGACGATGTCTTTCATACTTTTCTGGACCTTGACAGTGTAATTTACTTGGCAGTCAATGGGACAGTCACAAGCCTCCCGGTTTTCATCCAAAATATCTTAAATTGTGTTCCGAAGACGAACAAAGCTTTTACGGGTTTGGAACGACATGGGGGTAAGTGATTAATGACAACATTTTCATTTTGGGGTGGAGTATCCCTTTAAGTCCTTACTCTGATTATTGCAAATAATCGCATTACGCGTGCACATGTAAACGTAGTCACTGACACTCGGCTCTCGGTTCGGTACCTGGACGATCTTCTTGTCTGACATCCCAGCAACAAACAGGCTTTGTTTGTCCTCATCCGGGTTGAACTTCACGCAGTAGGGAACCTTCCTGTTGGTGAAGCGGGCGATGCACTGACCTGAATAGGACAATATTTTGCCGAGATACAACTATTTGAAAATATGGAATCTGAGGGTGCAAAAAAATCTAAATATTGAGAAAATCATCTTTAAAGTTGTCCAAATGAAGTTCTTAGCAATGCATATTACTAATCAAAAATTAAGTTGTGATATATTTATGGTAAGAAATTTACAAAATATCTTCATGGAACATGATCTTTACTTAATATCCTAATGATTTTTGGCATAAAAGAAAAATTGATAATTTTGACCCATACAATGTATTGTTGGCTATTGCTACAAATATCCCCCAGCGACTTAACACTGCTTTTGTGCTACAGGGACACATATAAAAGGCTGAATCCATCTGGGATCTGTTGTTGTGTTTGTGTGAAGCTCTCACCCGTCTCGGAGTCCCAGAGTTTGAGATATCTGTCGTAAGCGGCGCTCAGGAACTGTGTGCCAGTGTTGTTGAAGCAAACGTCACGCACGGCTTTACTGTGACCTACAGAGACACCAGACATCAGTCAGATCCGCATCCACACTCATGTTCAAAGGATTCTCTCAATGCTTTTGAAAAAGAATTCTCTTATGCTCACTAAAGCTGCATTTATTTAATCAAATGTACAATAAAAACAGTAATTATTATAGTAGTAATTATTATTTTGCTATTTTAGATCACATAATAATAATAATTATCTAACAGACTGTTTTACATTCTTGTATTTTTGCATGATAATTACTATAATAATAATAATAATAATAATTATGTAATATTATATTGCTCTAAAGACTGTTTCTTGTATTTCTGCATAATAATAATAATAATAATAATAACAAATTATTTAAATTATTTTACTATTTTAGATTGCATAATAATATTATATCATTTATTATTATTATTATTACTTAATTAATATTATTTTGCAATTTTAGATTGTATAATATTATTATATTATTCTAACAGCCTGGTTTTAATTTTATTTTTATTTTTTTATCATTTTTTCCCCATTTTAGATCGCATTCAGGTTCATAGATGCTCTACTAAAACAAACTTCAAGTGTAAGGCATAAAATATATGATTGAGTCCAGAACACCATGTTTTCAGTCTCAGTTTCACGATGGTCTAATGAAGCTGAATGAATGAAACATGAGTGAGATACTGAGCTCTGACGTCTCATGAATCTCGTTCAGCTCTTCTCCTGTGTGTCTCCTGACGAGACACAGGAGAATCATCACTCGCATCTCTCTCAGAGTCATTCAAGCACATCACTCAGACAGAGAGCGTCTGTAATAGGGCTGGGTAAAAAATATCAATATCTCGATATTGATATTGATAGATTCTCATTTTTACGGAACGATATCGATTCTTAAATCTCAAGAATCGATTAGTCTAGCCTGTTTTCAGTTAATGGATGGAAGATTGAAGGGCACTTCCCATGCAATAAATCGCAATAAGCATTGCGCTTTGGTCCTTTTAATATGAAACAAAGTCTCAGATTTCAAATTCTGTCCATTGTATTGCAGTATTCAAACAATAAATGCCGTTTTGGCGCTGTTTAATGTGGAGTGACAGATCGCTGTGGCATCTCCTCCACTTTATTACTAGTTATAGCACAAAATAAACATGACTAAACATCCGAAGGTAAGTTAAAAGAAAGACACAACTTTACAATCCGTATACTGTCTCGTGTAATCGCTCAATCAGTGTTTCTGCCGCGCAAAGACATCAATATAACGTCTTGTAAACAATGTCACTTAACATTTACCTCAGAAAAAACATATTCGGTGACCATAAACTCCTTAGTCAGAAAGAAAAATAAACTGTAGAGAGAGGCATTTTGCTAAATATATGCACAATATAACATTCATTATAAATTTTACTGTTCATAAATTAAACTTCAATGTTTAATTTATCTTTGAATAAATCCATCAAGTTTTATGACAGCCACCATTATGTTTATATTTAAAAAAAACTGAATTGAAGTAGAAATATTATTATGTAATTGTAACTTTATTATTTTAAAAACTTCATTAAATGTAATTTTAACAAATCAGTCAATTTTAACCTTCAACATTATAGTAATGTAGTACCAACTGACTCATGTATATTTTACAGCATTAGTTGAGAGATTTTTTTTCCTTGAGAAAATTTGGCATGTAATGTACCTGATATATATCCAAAATAATCGATATTGAATCTAATCGAATTGCAATCTTGTGAATGAGAATCGAATCGTGAAATTTGTGTCAAAACCCAGCTCTAGTCTGTAATGAACTGTGTGTGACTCTTCGTCTCCGGCTAAACCAGACCAGAGCAGAGAAAAATGACAAGACTCACCAATAAACGTCCGCGCACATCTCCTGTCATTATAAACCTCCCACAACTACAAGAGAAGACAAAAACAAAATCAGCACATACTGATACATATACAGGTAGCTGTCAAACAACATGGAGATACACTCTTCAAATGCATATCAATGTATAAAGAAAAGTATCTTTCAGATGCTGTAACTGGTCTTAAAACCTGCTTGCATATTGTTATTATTAATATTACACAATAATTAGAAAGAATTAGACAAATATTTAAAAGTCAGAGTAAAACAGTGTATCGACAACTACAATAGTGACAGTAATAATTATTATAATAATGTTTTACTCTAACAGACCGTTTTAAATTATTGTATTTTTGTATAATAATTATTATATTCATATTAATCATATTAATATTTTATTATTCTAGCAGACTGTGTTAAATCACTGTATTTTTGCACAATAATAATTATTATTACTATTACTATCATCATCATCATGATTTTGTTTTATTCTAACTTTTTACATTTATTTTTCATTTTTACATCATTTACATTACGTTTAAATTTTCATTTTATTTTTTTAATTATATGAATATATTACATTAATATTAATTATATTAATAATATTATATTAATCTAAAGATATTTTATATTATCCTATTTTTGCATTATCATCATAATATTAACAACAATAATAATTAGCATTTTGTTTTATTCTAACAGTCTGTATAAGTTCTCGTATTATTATTAATAATTTTATTACATTAATAGTTATTAACAACAACAACAACAGTACAATAATAATAATAATAATAATAAATATGACTTTTTGTTTCATTCTAACAGACTGTATTAAATGCTTGTATAATAATAATTATTATTATTTCCATTATTTATTACATTAATAGTTATTAACAATAACAACAACAGCAGCACAATACAATAATAAATGACTTTTGTTTTACCAACAGATTGCATTAAATGCTTGTAAAATAAGAATTATTATTATTATTATTATTACAACTATTATATTATTAGACGAAAAGACTATTATACGTGACCCTGGAGCAAGCAGTCATAAGCAGCACAGGTATATTTGTAGCAATAGCCAACAATACATTGTATGGGTCAAAATTATAGATTTTTCTTTTATGCCAAAAATCATTAGGATATTAAGTAAAGATCATGTTCCATGAAGATATTTTGTAAATATCCTACCGTAAATATATCAACTTAATTTTTGATTAGTAATATGCATTGCTAAGAACTTCATTTGGACAACTTTAAAGATGATTTTCTCAATATTTAGATTTTTTTGCTCCCTCAGATTCCAGATTTTCAAATAGTTGTATCTCGACCAAATATTGTCCTATCCTAACAAACCATACATCAATTGAAAGATTATTTATTCAGCTTTCAGATGATGTATAAATCTCAATTTCGAAAAATTGACCCTTATGACTGGTTTTGTGCTCCAGGGTCACATATAGACTATTCTTATTATTTAAGAATTAGAAAAAAAACATTTTTAAACAGTCTTAGACGAAGTAAAGAACAGTTTTACGTAACAGGTCATAACAAGTGTAACACTGTAATAAGTGCAAACTTCTCTGAGCGACAAGCTGAGTGTTTGAGCTGAAGATCTCACCTTGATCTTACAGTCCATGGAGCAGGAGAGCAGGAGATGAGCAGACACCGGGAACAGACGGATGGCGCTGACGCCCTGCAGACAGGAGACCAGAGTCAGTGAGTGTGTGTGTGTGAGTGAGTGAGTGAGTGAGTGAGTGAGTGAGTGAGTGAGTGAGTGAGTGAGTGAGTGAGTGAGTGAGTGTGTGTGTGTGAGTGAGTGTGAGTGAGTGAGAGTCAGTGAGTGTGTGTGTGTGTGTGTGTG